AGATAGATAGATAGATAGATAGATAGATAGATAGATAGATAGATAGAAGAGAGAGAGAGAGAGAGAGAGAGAAAGAGAGAGAGAGAGAGAGAGAGAGAGAGAGAGAGAGAGAGAGAGAAGTTAAAAACAACAAAACAAGACCTGAAGCAGAGCCTACCGCTAGTGAATGCACAGAAGAGCAAGCACCTGATGCATCTATGGCAGAGTGGAGGAGACCAGCCTGGCCCATTAGCCTCAGACGTAGGACCAAATGCAGCTGTAACTTGAACACTGTGTGACCCCAGAAGGGCCCGGAGGCACAGGCTAGTGTCTGAGCCAGCCAAACACAGGTGGCTTTTACCCCATTAAAAGCTGACACCTATTAATACCTAATAGTAATCACTTTGGGGTTTTGATAAAGTCGGATAGCCAAGGCTGGCCTCTAACTCACTATGAAACCCCATGTAAAGGGTGACCTTTAACCCTGACCCTCCAAGTGCGGGGGTCACAGGTGCCGGGTTAGAATCCAGGGCTTTCAGTTGTTCTAGGAAAGTGTAGAAAGTGAGGAGCGACCACTCCAAGGTGTGGCTGCAGGGAAGGTTTTATGGTAGACCTGAGGGAGAGAACAGTCAGACGCATCTGGGAGTCCAGAGCAGCCAGAGAAAGTAGTAGACTAAATATGGCCAGCAGAGTGAACTTGGACATGGGGGGGGGGCAAAAGAGGGGCGTGCGCGCGCGTGTGCGAGAGAGAGAGCATCAAGAGAGGAAGACAAAAGAAGGTGCATGGTCACAAGGGCAGGGTTCTATAGGAATGAGAAGCTGGGCGAAGGGAGGCCCATAAACTAGAGAAAGCAGTTCAGGGTAGGGGCAGGGTGAGAAGAGCTGAGAAGATCCATGCTCAGCTGCGGCACTCAGAAACCCCTGAGGCCAGCATGTGCTTTAGTATGCTAATAGGCACCAGATATAGCCAATTTCTTCTGGACAAAGTATTTTGTGAACTGGACCACATCCCTAGCCCAAGTAACCACTTTTATTTTGTGTGCAAAACCACAGCATTACTGAAGTGGAAGAGGGTTGCCCCACACTCCAATGTTCCCGAGGAAGCTAGCAAAGAAGTTAGACTTTTTGAAAATTTGTTTACACTAATCCGGACCTCTCCCCCTCAAGCCAAGCTTAAGGATCTATCAAAGACTCCACTAGAAAGCTAGGGAGCTGGCTCAAGGACCAGCATGGGATCTCCTGCATCCATGAAAAATGCCAGGTTCGTGTTGTGGCAAACCTGTAATCCTAACACCAGGGAGGCAGAGATGAAAAGCCCCCAGAGGAAGCTCGCAGGCTAGCTACACTCTTGAATTGGTGAGCTCTGAGGTCAAGTGAGAGACCCTGTTTCACATAAGGTGACAAGTGTCAGGAGAGACAGCCTTATGAGCCAAGCAGCTGCCTTGCTGGCGAGTTAAACTGTGCACACTGCAAAGGCTAATCCCAGCTAGATTTGCAATTGCCCCTCCTGAATAAAGACTCAGATTAGGGCACAGGATTCTAGGCTGAAATCCCTACTCCATACCCCCTGCCAGGGTGCATGTGTCCTGGGGGAGGAGCTAGAGTATATAGAGACTGACAGGAAAGCCTGCATCAGAGGAGTGGCCACACACCTGCAGTTAACCCCTCCCCTTGGCTCCATAAGGAAGCACAGTAATACATGGGTTTCCCAGTGACCTTTGCACAGAATCAGGCCATGCTTCATCTTTGGGATCTTGGGAGGAGGGGTAGACTTTGCTTTACATAGGCCCCAGGGAAGGAATTTTAACAAGAGTAATGAGTAAGATATTCAATGCCAACCTCTGGCTTCCACACATATGCATATATGTGCATGTGCCCACACACATACAAACATACATATACACCACATATATATCCAACAAAATCAGAAACAGGAAGCTTTCGGTCACTGAGAAAAACTAGAGTAAGCTTTAACTACTCTTACCAAACCAAAAAAGGAAACAAGCAAATAACAGAAGATGCCAGAAATTCTAGTGATGCCCACCTGGTCCACAGAAGTACAGACCAAGAGGTGGAAAACTTTTAGGGGACAGCAGCACTGAGCCATAAGTAGGACAATGTCAAGGCCCCCTGGGAGCCCACGGAGAAATGTTTAGTTTATTAAGCGCCTAAGCCACTTAGAAGAGCAGGTGTTATTACGCCACCATTAGAAAGAAATGAAGAAGCGGGGATAAATGGTAGCGGCGGCTGCTTGTTTCTAAGCTGTGCTTCCCAGAAGTTTGCTTGTTCAGTGATGTTTCTGCAGCACGATGGGAAAGGAGCTCTCCATGGGCTTGAAATCTCAACTTTTAAAAAAAAAAAGTGAAAAGAGAGAAGTCCAGTCTTGGTAGCTCACAATTGTACAATTACAGTCCCAGCACTGGGAGAGACTGAGTGGTGGGCAGGAAAGAACAGTCTGGGTCATACGGTGCGATGGAGGAAGGGAAGAG